GGAGGCCATCGCTAGTAGGTTGGAGGCCATCGCTATTAGGGTGGAGGCCATCGCTATTAGGTTGGAGGCCATCGCTAGTAGGGGGGAGGCCATCGCTAGTAGGTTGGAGGCCATCGCTATTAGGGTGGAGGCCATCACTAGTAGATTCCAAACGGTGGAGTCATGTTTTGAGTCCTTTTGAGTGAAAACGATAAGATCCCAGAGGGATGGAGACAACGAACTCGTTCACGGCCAGAAGGAGCTCCTGACCCCATCTATTCCGCGGCTCATCCTTCGGTCTATCCCTGTCAGACATGTCGGTTCAAATCAACAACTCTGGAAAACATGTTCCTGAACCGAAAATGAATTCGTGTTCTAATACGTTGCAAACAATGGTTCGCTACTAGGAACAAGTGCATCGCTACTAGGAGCAAAGGGCCTTACTAGTAGTAACAAGAAGCCATTAGAAACGTTCAAGCAAATAATGAATGCTACTAGGAACAATAAGCTACTAGGAACAAGTGCCACGCTAGTAGTAACAGGTGCCTTACTAGTAGTAACAAAAAGTTATTAGAAACAATAAGCTACTAGGCCTTATGCTCGGCCCACCATGGCTACACGTTCCCTCTCGGTCTCAGACCCCAAAGGATCAAAGCCACTGTCTCCCGGCCTAACAGTTTCGGCGGCAAGATCCTTTCTTCCGCTTTTCTTCTTGTTTTTTTAAGCCCGCTTCCCCTCCTCTTAATTAAGTAGGCGCCGACTTAATTAAGTAAGGAGAGGTGTGTAGCTAGTAGTAGCTCTCGCGCTTGCACTAATGATGTGGTCCCTAGATTTTGTAGGGAAACTTAAGAGGATTAGCATCCTGTGCGTCCCTGACCATATTTCATGTGTGCTCTCCCCTCCTAGTGACTAAGTTGTGAAGAACTTGATTCCCAACACCTTGGCAGACAGAACTTGACCAGGTCCCCGGACACGTTGGCCGCAAAGGCGCGATACTCCGGCTCCGGAAGGAACAGCACACCTGAGCGGTCCGTCTCGCGTGAACTCCGCTGTTCAGAGTCTGCCTGACCAAACGCTTGCCCAGCCCGATCGTCGCAGACCAGGCCCGAGAAAAGGGATTCCGAAGAATAGGTCGGGTCACACTGGCCATGCAATTTTGTGCCACTTCCGGTCAAATCTGGGCTGCCCACGGGGAAGACTACGCGTTTCCGAGTAGCGAGGGCGACCAACATCTACCTTGCTTGGCTGTGCAATCGTCACAGCATCAAAGCACATCAAAACGACATGATTGTGTGGGATCGATTTGAACACATTTGAACACCCCCTAGCAGACTGTTCTCTTCTTGTTTAAATCCTGCACATAGTGACGGTCACATTGGACATGCTCGCAACAGTCGTCACTTCAAGAACGACTGTGAAGTCAAGTCCGCTTGTCCACCATTTTGCAGATCCGCATGACGGAGCTGGCCTTTTGGCGGTCCAACACTGGACCATCATCCTGCAGGTTGTCCTGAAAGTCATATCCAATAACAATAAGCACATTATACGTCTCGTACCATGTTTTGACCTGGCTTGCAAAATGTGTCTTCCTCTGTATCCCAACTTGCCTCAAAGTTCACGTGAAATGGCAGCAATAGTAAACTGATGTAAATCATATGTGGTCATGGGACGTCCTCGCCGGCTCCCATCATCTGGCACAAAATGCAAAATTGCATTGTTTACGTGTAAAAAAATGCTCTAATAGCGATGGCCTCCAACCACTCATTACAGCAGTCGGCAGTCTGCCAGTTCCAAGAAGTTTCTACAAGTGCAGCTTGGAGACACAGGCAATTCCGGAGACTGGCCCATTCTTTTGGATTCATCATGATTCATCTAGGTCTCCAAATGACATGGGAGACTGCTCTGGTGCACCAACAACGGTCAGGAGCGCCGTGCTTTCCACTTCCTGCCTTGGGCGGTGTGGCGGGGCACATCGAGGCGCTGCACCGCGGT